AAAAACACTATTGTATATTTAATCAAATATAACTAGTAATTGTTTTTTAATTGAAAATAGTTTTTGTATAAAATATACATAATAAACACCAAAACCAACCAATATTTATTTTGTTGCTATCAAAATAATCTCCTTCGATTGCTATATAACTTTGTCAACGGTTGAGTCATTTCTTTATAGCTTTCTTGTACACTGATTGGAGCATAGCCTTCAACTCCTGCAGTGTATGATTTTTCATGATCACAATTGACTCAGACCGCCGTTCTCAAAGTGGTAGTTTTATAACCATATCAGATGAGTACAGTATTTGTACGTTCACACTCGAAGAGTGTTTTATTAAAAACAATTTTTTTTGGCACTAGGCAGAAAGCATTAACAATTTCTTAAGAATAAATGGAGAGATTCTGACTGACCCAGAGAGCAGAATATAAAACTTTTCTTCAGTATTTAAGAGAGAGAGAGAGAGAGAGAGAGAGAGAGTTGATATAAAAAGGCTTGGTACATAAAAGTTTACTAAAGGTTTATCTAAACCAGAAAACATAGAAATAGTACAGAAAGAATGAATGTAGGTGGAGGAAGTGAGGCTATTGTCAAATACGGGGGTAGTTTAGTTGTAGATTGTGTGGTCAGAATCACGAAGTCGACTCTTATAGAGGATGATAATGGAAGCATCTAAATACCTCTCATTACTCAAGACTTATAAACTACGATGAACGTATGCCATCGCAGAACGTTTAAAAGTATAATATCAAAATCAGTTAATCTAAACCCACTAGGCAGCATCGGAAAAAAATAAATTTTTACGGAAATTCTTATACGTTAATTCTTTAAATTATACATTCCGTGAAGTTTTTGCACATAACATATTTTTATTTTTATTTAGAAATCCTGTGAGTTCAAAATCTTCATTCAACATTCATCAAACCGAAAGATTTTTCTACGCATTTGTTAGAAAAATTGCTTTTATATTTAAATCTTGAGATATTGTTTTTCAAATGCAATTCTAGCAAGTGCGTGCAGCTTCAACCAGTTCTTCAATTAAGAAGACCATGATTGATTCTTGGTACAATATTTTCCATATGAGATCAACCAAAGTAACTTCTGTTTTAAGAACTTCTCTGATTATTAGAGGATCCTTCAAAAATATTTACTGCATTTTATCTGTGTTTTCGTTTGGGGCAGAAAATTTTCATTATATGAAATGGTCTTCATTAACTAAGATATAGTTTTTATTATTTCATATGCTGATTCTCAATTTTAAAGGATACTTTATTTTTAAAATAAAATGCGTTAGACCTGTATCTCTTTATTTTCAATAAGATTCAAAGTTGGCCGATTAAAAAAATTATTTTGTTAATTACTTCCTTTCATGAATACTCATTTCAGTATTTCCATATCTCTTGCTTTTTACGTGTTCTACTCAAATATCAACCTTCTGTTCATGTGAATACCCAACTCACTAAGACTCCGTTTGCTTGTTGTATATGATACTTAATCCTTTAACGCCTAAGGGAGGAGCATAGGGCTTGTGTATTATTTATAAATACATTTGGGCAATCTATTATTATTATGTATACAATTTAATTTTGAGGTTCACAAAGTCTTTCCATAATTTGTAGTTTATATGATAATTAATATATATAAGTAATATTAATTTTTTAACTATAATTTGCTAACAGTATAATATTAATGTGTAACCATAGAGCATGAATCTGTTAATGCTATGTATAAGTAATTGTTATTCTTTTTAATTAATTTGCCTTTTATGCTTTAATATAATTTTTTATTAATTATTTTTATTAAATTATGTTTTTGTAAACAAAACACCTAATACTTTTCATATTTTTTCTGTTTTGCAAACTTAATTTTTTGGTTTATTTTACATAACAAAAATTACAACCACTTTTCTAAACTTCTACCTCAAACCACAACTATATATATATATATACAAATTTATATAATATATAACCAAAGCATTCGTTACAAGTGCTAACCAATATAAATAAGTGTAAAATTATGTACAAAAATGCGAGAGAAAAATTGTATAGAACTTCAACTAAAAAAAATATTGTATATATTTAATTAAATATAAACTGTAAATTTTTTAACTTGATTCCATAAAAATCCCAAATATTTACTAATAAATTTTTTCTTTTATAATAACAAAAACAAAAAATATAAATAATAGGAACAAATAATGCGAGAGAAGCAAGTCAGTGGACGTGTCCAGATACAAGTTTGGTACCACGCAGAACGTAATGAATTGGTCGTATCACTTATGGCAGCAGATGATTTAGCTTTACGCGATGAAGCCTACGGTCACGGTAACTTACCGGAAGCATATGCTAAAGTACGCATATTACCCAAATGGTAAGCAGAAACAATATTTAATACTCAATAGTTTATAAACCAATATTTTTTTATTAAATAAAAAATAAATATATATAATAATAGCGGCGATGGTTCCGTACAACAAACAGAAGTAAGTCGACCGACACAGAATCCAATTTGGAATGCAACTCTCACATTTGCGCATGTGAATGCGGATAGCTTAATGGATCGCTATATTGATATACAACTCTGGGACTTAGTGCCACATACAGAATCTATTTTTCTAGGCGAATGCAATATTGAACTACAACAAGCTTTTCTTGACGATCATGCAATTTGGTGTCGTCTTGAAGATCCTAAAGGTTTGCGTGGTATTAGTATATCCAAATCACCAAGCGTTTCACCTCGCGGTTCACTTGCTACTGGCTGTCCTGGTGGTGATGTATCACGTTTACTACGACGTGACTATAATATGCAACGTTCCATATCAGATGAAGTAGATTCAATTGGAGATGGCACATCTTTATTACATCCCGATCATGCTTGGATTGCTGGTTCTCGACGTGGTTCCTCGCAATCTGAAACACTTGAAGTTGAGGTATATCAGTTGGGTAAAGATTTTTCACGTTCTTTACCTGGTTCTCGTCGTTCATCATTTCAAGATCCTGAAAAAATACGTGAAGAAGATGTTATGGTACCACCACCTACAACATATTTAGCGGGTAGGCGACGTTCATCGGCTGCTAGACGTGACCCCGATGAAATTCTTAAGTCACTCAAGGCTGTACGTGGTGAATTAGGGCGTGCAATGAGTTTAAATACTGAACCTAACAATAAACGGCCAACATCTAGACGTGAGTATACAGTTCTGATTTATTTATTAATGAGATTTGTACGT